ATCTGCTGATATGTCATATTTAGATATTATTTCTGATATTGATTGCAATATGAAAATTTTTCAGATATATATTCTACGGCAAATATTAAGCTTACTCTGACGATATTACTTTTTAATTTAAATTTAAAATTATGAGATTTTCAGTTCCATTAGAATGGATATCATTATGGTTCCGAGCGCCATTTATGCTTCTTATTGGTGACATTAGGCAAGGCCTGTTCTATGCCATATTATTTAGCTTTTGGCTTATTTTTACTGGTGAACATCTTATTGATGATACGTCTAGAAATAATTTGGTGAGTTCAATTTTTTCAAATTTTAAATGTTCTTAGTTTTACAAAGAAATGAATGTCATTATTTGATGATTATGATAATATTATATTATAATATATTTTAAATTTAAAACTTTACAATTTTGATCATATAAATGGGATCAAACGCTGAAAGTTCAATTTATTTACATGTGTTATCACACTGTCATCTCATCTAATGACATCTCTGCAGTAAAATCAAGCAAAATTCATTTTTCGCTAATCTTTTTGATTATGACGAACTTTTTCAAATCTTTTTTTAATTAACCTAGAACAAGTTAAAATTAATATGGAAGACAATAATTGGTGAATAAAAAATTTCAAATTTTAAATGTAAATTTAAATATCAGAGCTCATACTGGCAAAATTTGACATCAGTTTTGGTTGGCTCAACATGTTTACTAATTTACGATATAGCCGAACGTGGTATGCAGCTATTGAATCCATTTTTCAGCATATGGTCATCAAAATTGGGTTCACGTTTAGCGGTAAGCTCTTCTAAAGTGATAATTTTTGCGAATGCGTTGATTATTTAACGAAGCATACTTTATATACAATTACTGGAATTTACTTATTTTGAAGTGTATTTCAGTACACATCAATTTACATAGCATCTCTTTGCGTACTGTTCTATTTTGGTTTCCTTGCTTATAAAGTATATCGTGTATGGATAACAATTAAAAGGAAACGAGCCGCTCAACTTTATCGTAATAGTGAAATTCGCCGATTAAAAGTATGTTAGCATCTTTCTTGCAGCAAATTTTCGGACAAATCAATTTTTTGAAATTCGGCATTTTTTTTTTCTTGGCCTTTTTTTTATCGTTTACATAAGTCGAAATTGCATCTGATTATCATTTATAAAATATCCACAAATTAGACTTTTGGGATATTCGTTTCATTTTGAATTTTATTTTCTAACTGAAAAAGTTGGCAAACTCAGTCCTACCAATAGTTCGAAATCAATCAGACTATATAGAAATCGTGCTATCAGAAAAAATTAAATTACTTTTGATAAATTTATTCTTATTATAAGGATGTAGTAGAACTAATAAAAGTCTGAATTGGAATTGATTTGGCCGAAAAAGAACTTATTGATTATTATTTAAATTATTTAAAAAGAGCTTACTAGTTATTATTCAAATATTTGTAAATCTGAAAGTTTCAATTTCATGATGTAAAGTTTGAAGAAACTTCAACTAAATCAAATTTCCTAATTACTTCTCGATATGACTTTGATAGAAAACGTTTGTTATTGACAAAACAGATATTAGCAGTAATAATGTTGTAATGGTAATTTGGATGTCCATAGTCCACACTCATCAATTTGTTATAGATTTGCCTTATGGTTAAAAGTTGCTTATTTTGGCTAGCCAAATTACAAATGCACCAGTGTTAATTTTAAATTAAGCAGCATCACAACTTCATTCAATTTAAAATTGAATGAAGTTGTGATAAAATTGAAAATGAAATTGAAAAAACTGCAAATAGTATTCAAACATTTCTATATTAGGTTAATGATAAGGTAAGTTACTTGCGCATGTATTTAGTAGTTATGATAAGATAGATGGATTTATAAAAATTGAAATAAATAAAAGTATATGGATATATACGATGAAATATTTTGATGACAAAAAAGGAAAAGCTAAATATTGAAGCTTTGAGCATTTGATGGCTCTCAATAAACAATCATATTGTTGAACCTGTTCGTGCTTAAAAAAAATTTTTTTTTTTTTAAAAATGTAAAGTTTGTATTCCATGCATTTAATCATTCTATATAATAACCTTATAAAACATAAAAGTGGAAACGTAATGATTCTGGTTGAGACTATAATTGAGAGTCAAAAAATATTTATCAGCTAATGGCATTTCCATTTATGAAATGGAATCTCAAATTATTGGTAAGAAATATCGGATTAATTGGTATTGCATTATAGAGAATTTTATTAATTTAGATTGAAGCAATCATATATCGTTTCAAATTTCTGATGTTCTTCACGTTAATATGCGCTGCATCAACAATTATTACTTACATTATGAAACAGGTAATACATTAATGATACTGTAATCCTACAGTATATACTGTACTACAGTACGAAAATGCAAACAGATTACTTACTAAAAAAAGATCTTTATTCTCTTCATTTCCTTTTCTCTTTCTGGGGAGAAAATCAATAGTGGTATTTGTTATTTTGGAAAGAATGATTAGCAGATGATCATATTGGTTAATCAATGGACAAATTAATTCCTCAATTCAAATTAATTCATTGGTCTTTTTTTTTTTTTTAAATCGTATTTTCAGTATGGAGAAGGACAAATGCATAGTGATAATCCATCTGAAAGTTTATTAATTCATTCATCAAGCGCTTTTTTTACGGGTACTTTTGGCATGTGGAATATTTATGTACTTCTACTATTGGCCATGTACGCACCATCTCATAAACAGTATGGCACCACTGTTGGTATGTTATTATTATTCGTTATCATCAACTATCAGTCATTATCATCATTTATTATTACTGCTATTACTATTGTTATCTTCATTAAGTTCACACAGAATTTAACGATGAAAATAGATAAAAGATATTTTTATTGATAGTTTCATAAAAGATTAGAATGATTTCGAAAAGTTGACATTATAAACTTTTCGTAAAACTTTTCGCTTTCATTAACCATACTATATATTCCAGTTTACGAATATCTCATATTGAGTGAAATAACCGAATCATCCCTGTTGAGTGTATAAATGTTAATAAGGAGCTAATGAGATAATAGCAAAAATCACTTTTTTTTTTTTCGGAAATAAATGAATATGAACTAAGAAGAGAAATTTGGTTAAAATTTAAATATTTGTAATGTTTAAATGTTAGCTAATTGTTGATGTTTATAGCGCTACGCGAGGAAACAGACATACTGGTAGATGATGAGCCAACTGAATCATCAGCTCTAACAACATTCATGAAAGCAACTACAACTGAATGAATGAATGAATGATATCTCTCTCAAAATACATTTTCTTATGGTTCAGATTAAAATCTCTACCGTAAAGCAAAAAATCTAATCAATGTTAAAATTTTTTGCATTAATTAGAGCAGATTAAAATGAGCAGAAATAATGATATATGCATGACGACAAAACATTACATTGTGTTTCCGATCACAATCAATAATTCAATTTCATAATAAGTGTTAAAAAATATATATGGGAGCTATTACTTATAATCAATCGTCATTATTAGATTGATATTGTAAGATTATTCCATTATCATGTATGAAAAAAAAAAAAAGTATTTTCTCTCTTAACGAATTACAAAAGTATAATATTGCTGCGCTATTTTTTATCACTCGTACACTTATGCTTCATTATTTCAAGCCATTTCTTTCTAGAAAGTTACATATTTCTTGAAATGTAATGGATTGTCTATGTTCTTATCAGCCATTATTTCATAATACGAATAATGGATGATAAGCGTCTTCTATTCATTTGCTGAATTCCTGACGATAATCACCTTCGGACATATGTAATCAAAGTATATAAGTTACAAATTTTAGCCATCGTTAGCTTTTCTGATCTCAAAAATTATTTTAATACCCCTAAATCCTAATTTCCAATAGCTGAAAATTTTTTATAGTATATTTGCCTTCAAGAATTTTCCCATCATCCTTCTGCACTTTGTACATATTTTTTTCTCCAATCTAACAATAACGTCGTATGAATTAATTGCATATTAAAATATTTGTTATTTCGTTTTTCTCAATCACTTACAGATTAAAATATAGCATTTTGTTGATGATATCTGTGATTTGCTTCAATCATATATTTAAATGTGTTATTTACACAACCCGCCAGATGTTTTCGGACGACCGGACAACAGTTAGTTCCGGGACTTTCTGCTGAAATTCTAGTTCATGATCTCGCTTAAGTCTTATTTCATAAGTAGCATACAACAGCTAGTAAAATAATATCTTCTGAACAATTCTATTTACAGTGTATCAAACAGATACAAAACAATATGAAGTCACAATCAGAAGAGAAGGAAAAAAATAAAGATACTATCAATATTATCCCCTAATTGTTAGAATTTCCAACACAAAATTGTGATATTTTACCGCTTAAGTCAAATCCACAAAATAGAATATAATAGTTAGTAAAATAATATCTTCTCAATCATTCTCTATTTGTTTCATTACTATTATGATTATTTCATCGCTATGAATAGTTATTAATATCGAAGATATCAATCATTCTCCATTTGTTTTACTACTGTTATGATTATTATCTTCTTTAACAGATCATCGCTATGAAGAGTTATTAATATCGAAGATACATTTGATGAACAAAAAAAAAAATGTTACCTATTTACAATATACGAATAAATAATCGTTTGGTAATAAAGTACATAGTAACATAGTAATAAAACTCTGACTCCTTGATAAATTATGTATTCAAGTGCACCTAAAAAACCCGAGAAACTAGGATTGGGAGAACAGGTTTCTTAAGATTAAAAAGAGAAAGACAAGGAAAACAGAAATTTAGAACTCTATCGAATGAACGTAGTAAACTATACCCGGTTAACAATCCAATTTACTTCTGTATTCATTACCTAAGACAAAAAATCCCTCACTGGTAAAGAAAAATATACATGAATCAAACTAGGAATATAGCATATAAGTACTACCCGTTTTGAATTCATTACTTCCAATCCAAAACTGTATCGCATCTGAAAATATGCATACGGGGTTTGTAAAAATGAGGATGCATAAAAAAAAAACCGAAAAGTTGTCTTGTTTTGTATTTACGGTCTGCATTTTCGAAAAATCAATTTAAATGTCCATAGCATCGTGAAACCTGAGCTTTGATCTTCAATCACATACAAAAATTTATAAGTGATTTTATACAAAACTTACTGTTCTACATCAAAGAATTGTGACCATCTGCTACTGTCCGCACAAAGTGTTGATAATGCATTGCGGATACTTCGGCGTTTTGAAGTTATGTTAAAATCCGGATAGTGTGATGTGAAATCAAAATCACCGTATAACATAAGGTCCTAAAAAACGAAACAATTCTTTCTGAATTTTCAAACATATCAAAAATTATTTCGTGGAAATATTTATGCTGGGCAAATGATTAAATAAATTAAAATTAAAAAGGAAAATCGGCCATGAAAATATTGTCATAAACACATTTCATCTCGAAAGATTAACACTGCTTTGAAATTAAATAATGAATGAGTCAGATTGCTTACAATGGCGATTAAACTTGGGAAAACCACAAATATATACCTTGATAGGAGGCTGAAGAAGGAAACGCTGTGCATATTCCAGTATGTACAAACCGCAATCAACATCATTTTCCTGCTGGGGCAAATTTTTCGGTATCACCGTTTTTATTTGCTTTGTCAGCAGATTTTCCTTTCGTGAGCTCAATTCGGAAGCCCGCTGAAGCGAATGAAAAAACAATTAAGCACCTTGATACAGATAAAACTAACAGAAAATGTAAGACTGTCAATTAGCAATACCAGAAAGATTCCACATATGAATGATTGCTTACAGTAATTATCATATGTGGTGTAAATTGTGAAAATATGGAAAAGTTATCAAATAATTAATTACTCGACATTAAGCTAATAATTAAATCGTTAGCAAATTCAATTGCTTAAGCATAAGCAGTTGAATTTGCTAACGATTTAATTATCGGCTTAAGCATAAGAAGGGAAAAGTTTTATGCAGTTAGAAATCATGTACAGCTTTTTAGAAGTAGAAAAAACCAAAAAAAGATCCTCACCAAAAGGAAAGTTTTGAGAGTATTTACAATATCTTCTGTACAGGGCAGTTCAACGGATTGTTGTGAATCGAAAATTATTATCAAAGGTTCAGACATGGATAATTGCATTGTTAAACATGACATCGAGATTATTGTTAAGGACCTGAAATTCCTGAGTTTCAGCGGCATGAAAAATCAATCTGTCCCTACAAAACATGACAGGATAAAGGAATAAAATTCTCGTTTATCATAAAAATGTAAGTTCTGATATGCCATAAAATCACAGCATGATTCTTATATTACCCTGGCGTACAAGGCTTTTGAAGAAGTATTATATTTTCTGCTGCAGCAGAAATATTATTATTTTTATTTAACAAGGCAAAACAGTCATAGAAGTGTAATGTTAATCTTTCCGTTTCTAAATTAAAAAAAGTTGATGAAACTGAATATTTAATTCCAAATATTCAATAAATCTTGACTCTAACCAATGATTGTATTCGTTAACAGGGATCACCAGAAAATCTGCATCAAATATATCTTCATCTTCAAGCCAATACTGAATGCGACTTGGATTCGAGACCTAAAAAAATTGGAATTTAACTAACCACTTATCATGCATCTGATTGGCCAATTTCCAACAAAGTGTTTGAAGACTGAATCTAATTCACTACATCGATATCGATAAAAGTTTAGAAATATATTTTCAATGGCAAAATACATTTCAAATACTCTTAGAATGCCTGGAAATACAGGCACATACAGAAAGTGCTTCTAAAATTGAACCCACCACAACCTTTTAAGAGAGAAGGCAAATTATCTAAAACTACTCGATTGGAATTTAATACCTTTGAAATATGCAATATAGCTATGTGCCAGACTAACTATTTTTTGAAATTAAGTTACTTAAAATGTAAAAATGAAACGTAGAGGTAATGAGGAGCAAATGAAATAGAGTACAAAAATATATCCTTAAAAAGACGTAAAAATTTTTCAAACACTTACTCCATCAGAACTACCAATCCCGGTTATTGCAAATCCTTCAACACCGTCAAGATTTAAATTCCTGAACCACGACTTCAAATTACCCCAAAACAACGATGGAAATATATGCATTCGCAAATTTCTATAAAATAATATTTAAAACAAACATACTAATTAATTCATTCAATATACTGCATCTCTTGCATCTGTATGTTGAAAAATACGACAATTTCTCCAGAAGGAGGCTCACAACGGTAACCGTTAATCTTACTGTGGAATCATCTCAGATATTATCGCACAATTTTACCATAAAAACTATGCATATTTTTGCACTTCGCAACAGTTCATTACATTTCTTACAACTGAACCAAAATACTACCGTAAACATGATTATCACAATGATAAGAAGTTTCACATTTCAATAACATTAAGTTTGGAACACTTTTCACTCCAAAATTAGAAATGATAATTGTTAAATTTAAAAAAGGGAACAAGACATAATGGAGTGTCGTAATTTGATAAAATACAAAATTATTGCCAAGAATTCAAGTGATCTGTTAAATATATCTCAATAATAAACGTCCCTAAATATCAATAAAGGAAACAAACAAAACTTACGAATCCTGTATCAAATGGCATCTGATATGATTCAAGTAGAAATCGATAATGGTACCATTAAGTAGTTCTCCTTCGGCCAAGCATAACAAGTCGGCAATGCTAATATGAAGCGAGAGGGATGGAAATCTTACACGAATTATTTCGGTACGTATATCTATTTCAAGAATCTCCTGAAAAATTCATTAAATAAAAAATTATATTTGAAATGAAATACACTAATTGTCATTTCTCAATTCTCAAAAATATGATTCAAGAATGATTGAATTTTTTTTTTTTGCCAGCATAAGATTGGAATTTAATCTCTTTATAAAAAATAAAAATCGATGACGTAAAAATAACTAAAGAAAACGCGTCGCCTTCTATCAACCAAAAAGTACATCTCTGTAAACATCTATAATAATTTCGCCTAATTTTAACAAATTAAAAACTAAAACAAAATGAAATAACACTATAAAGCACAAACCTTAGTTTTACCTTCGTCATCGGACAAAGAATTGAGCTCATTGGCGAACCCATTCATCGATTACGTAGCGTAATAACCGCTCCTAACGTTCCAAAATCCTATTTTAAGCAAATGAAATATAATTTTTTTTCTTTTTTAATTAAGAATTTTTTGAAACTTCAATCAAAATCCGCCATATCCTCCAACAAAAAGAATACCGCCATGAACTCACATACACATACACAACACATACACGTACATACACGTACACTTGTACGCATACGTATACACACACGCACACAAAAAACGAAAGCACACGCGACAAACATTTAGGAACACCGCTCCGATAAGACATCCCGACGCCTCTATTCATGCAATCATTCCCTACGAAACCCAATACGACTGAAGAAAATTTAAATTTCACCGGTAGATTTTAAATTTCATCACGAGATTTTAGGATATTATTGTGGTGAAGAAATGCATGATATTATTTGTGGGAAGAATTGTATGATATGATTAATGATTGAATTAAAGCACAAAAAAAAATTTGCTTAAACTTTAATTGTTGCAACACACACATACACACACACACACACACACACACACACACACACACACATACACACACATGCGCACGCACATGCACATGCGCATGCAATTATTCTGCACAGTTAGTTGCGCAATTATCCAAAGTTATTTGTGTTACATAATTATTGTTATTGCAATGTTCATCAAACAAAATATCATCAGCTAAACATTTGTGTGTGATAAGCAATGCATGCAAAGACTTTATTTGATCGAAATAAATATCGAAGTATTTAATTGAATAAATAGCGAATTTTAAGATAATTCGTTAATGCCCGTATTATAATGAATTAAATGCGATGAAATTTAGGTCAGACATGTGTGTTGAGTTGTTAAATTAGAGCAATTAAGATATAATAATTTCTTAATTAAATGAGAAAATAGTTGTAATATTCTAATATGCGCTAAATAATTTTAAAAAGAAACAAGCAAATAAATGATTGCTTTAGAAATAAAAAAGTATTGAACTGTCTCAAACGTTTATGCAAATATTTTACAGTGAATATTAGCTAATCTTTTCACTAAATACTTCTAAATTTAATTAATTTACCCGTTAAATTGCGCAATGAAAATGAAAATAATTAATTTAGCATTTATTTTAGACTTTTTTTTTGTCCATTTTATTAATGATTGAAATGTTGAAGTGGATTTTTGAAAAACTATCAAAAATTGCTTTTAATTATGGTAAATTCTAACATTACAATGTGATTTCGAAATAATTTTTTGCTTTTAATATGATCTATTCATTTGCTTTCCAACCTTAAAACGAAATATTTTTATACAAGCGGATTAAATTATGGCAGATTGAATGATAAAGGTCAGTATTGGTTAATGTTTCCTTGACCTTGAATTATCTGGTGCTAATGAAACTTATCGTAAGTTAGTGAGATAGTAGGAATGGCTACATTCGCTTATCATCTTTCGAATGATTACCGTAGAATGCGGAAGAGTTATCAATTCCCATGATACTGGATTGGATGATTTTGTGATTACAATAATCTATTTGGGGAAATAAATTGTTGTTCAGCATTTCTTCATCAACATTTATGATTAATCGTTGCAATGATTCGGCAATTTCAATATCCTATCATCTTATCATATCTGAAGAAGTTACGGAGAAATGTAATATGGAAGGAATCATTGTGATAATTTTTTATTATTGATAGGACAAGAAGAAAAGAATCATCACTATAATATTTCCATTTATCAATGGAGTGAGAGGAAAGAAATCATTGTGATAATTTCCTATTATCAAAAGTTTATTCTCTCCTTCCTAAATTCCATACTTCCACAATTCTTGTTTTGAAAGGATTTGTGAAATGAAAAAGAAAAATCATAAAATTCATTTACTCATAATTTACTTTGCATAAATGATAATTTTTTAGCTCAGAGCATCAAATTAATCAAAATTAAAGCATTTAATATTAATAATGATTGATATTAAAGCTGAAAAAAAGAATGTGAATTATGAATTTGCTGAGAGAAGAAAGTACTTCCATTATTGATTAATAATTTATTTTAACTTAAAAATATTTCAAGCTTTTATTAAGCAAATGTTAATACCACTTCTAATATCAATATCAATATTACTTCCATTTCTTGTTTGTTATTGTACTTAAAATTGTATTTGTATAGTAGCAAATTGCAAATTATATTCATCCCATTGCATTTTAAAGTTTGTTCATCAAAATTCGATAAAATTCACGTAATCATTGTTTAATGAAAAAATATTTATTAGTAAAGAATTTAATACTCGTAATATCAATAATAGATTATTAATGATTGCATATCAATTTTAGCAAATAAAAATTTTCAATTAATTAAAAAATTTGATTTGCTCGCATCATTAAATAATCGGGTATTAATGATTGTGAATAAAATTTCAAACAAACTTCTTTCTCTTTTCTTATCTGTCTAAATGAAATTAATTATGCTAAATGATGTTCACAATTATAGCTACACAAACAAATATTATATTAGCTGAAAAAAGTTTAAAGAAATAACAGTCAGCTCCATTTTAGACAATAATATTGAGAATAATTTAAAATTATTTAAAATTAAACAAATGCATTATTACATAGTTCATAAACTGATCGATTCATTTCATTTTTTGGCAAACATTCTTGCTTGATATCATTAGGTAGAAAAATTTTTGAACGCTTCAAGAAAATATTCAGTGGACAAAAATCACTATCCAATGGACATCCTTTCGTAAAGCGTGTTATTGCACGATATTCATAGTGAAATGCTTCATGAAAGAGTATCTATAACACAGTTAAGAAGAAAATTGTATTTAAAATTTCAAATTATGATTTCAAACAATAGATATTTCATAATATCACTTTTAAAAAATTATTTAAAATAGGATTATAATGAATCCACTAATTTAGAAATTATATTAATGCACTAACTTCTAATTAAAATGGATAAATTTGCGGTGTGAAAATTTCTGTAGAATTTTCTGTCGTAGAAATTAGTGATAAACTTTTCAAGAGTTGCCAAAAATTTTTCTAATAAAAGTGCTAAATAAGTAATCTAATATTCGGAAAAAATTCAAGTAAGTTAACAGAAAAATTACAAATGTAATAATTTTAGGTATTTATTAAAATTTGAACAAAACGAACAGGTACCTTTACCGCAAGTCCTATATCAGTTTTATTCCATAATTCTATTGCAACTGAAGCGGTATATTGTGGTAAATCTTTTTCCAAAATTTTTTCATCAGCAAGTGTAGCTAACAAAGCGGCAACTGTTGTATCATGCTGTTAAATGCACTTTTTTTAAAAAAAAAAAAGCTTAAACAGATTGGAAAATAATTTGAAATTGCATAATTACTTTACTTTACATAATTACTTCACTTGTTACATTTCTAAAATAAAATAAATTTAGGAATTTAACGAATGAAATTATGCAATATTTTATCACTTGATAATTTTTGCTTTCTTTTTCTTCCTTGCCACTTATGCCATTAAGGAAAGTTAAAATTTTCGAAATTATTTTAAATATGTTCTACTTACTGAGGATAATTTCATGCTATTTAAGAAATTTCCTCATTCTTAATCTTTTTTTAGTGAAAAATTTCAGGGTATTTGTTTTTTGTTTGTTTTTTTTTTTGGTAATTATTCAAAACATACAGCTGAAAGGGCGAAATATTTGCGCTGCAGAATCCATAAACAGCTGGAATTTTTTGGATTCAATAAACATCGCTTCTTCTCGTTTATATTTTCCAGAAGAAATTTCAATAAGCTACCTAAAATAATATTTTAGCAACAAATATTTTCAAAAGATATCAAATGATTCCTTACTGTTAAGCAATAAATAACTTTTTGCACTGATCATTTCCCCAAATTTTCAATCTGGCTGCAGTTTAATTTTTAGAAAAAAAAAAAAAGGTACTTATATAATTCTTGTATTTACAGTAACTTATCTACTGCTATATTTCTATTTCCTCATGCATAAGCTACTTTTCTAGCAAAATTCTTTCCTACTAACGGTCACTCTCACATGTGCTACTTTCATCAGTCACTGTAAGCGAAATTACTGTAAAAGGTCAGCAAAAGTTTAGCTCAAAAACTATACTATCGTTGCTAGAACTTAAATCACTACTTTGAATATAATCGAACAAAAAATTAAAGATGCTTAATTTTAAAATTAAAAGATATTTTGGATATTTGAAAAAAAATTCGAAGAATTACAAGAAAATTATCAAATTCACAGCATCATGCTTATGTGGTTGTTTTCAACGTGGCTCATTGCTAATTCATTGATCCAAATTTTTAGCATAAAAATTTGGATGGCATAACTTTGCATTAATTATGATGGAAATATTTGGAAAATACTTAGAATGGTATTTATCAACAATTGAAATGGCTAATTTAATTTTGAATTTTTTAGAATCAAATTAATCATCACAGTTCATCAATTGATAATATCAACTTATTTGTTTTCAATTTATCTGTCAGCCAAATTTTACGTATAGGATTTATTGGAATTTGAAAATGGTAGTAATATCGCACCTCCTCTAAGTTTAGTTAGTTCCGGTATATGTGGTACTGAAATACCATATATGAATTTACTGGTAATCATTGATAAATTACGCAACTTTTTGGAAATATCGTCGGTTATCCAGGATGGTTGCGACATATTATGTAACATCTGAAATAATTTACAACTCATTAAATATGGGAAATTCTTTGCATTCTTTCATTCATGCATTTCGTGATCATTCATAATCAAACGTGGACATTTTAAATCAATTTGAAATTAGGAAATTACATTTATTCATGAGCAATTATGATTTAGCAATATAAGAATAGCTAGAATTGCTGATACTGTTATCCATGCATATCTGATAGGAGTAAAATCGAGTATAAAGAAATCAAAAACCTCGACATAATGAATATCGTTAATGGTGTGTACATTATCCAAATTCACTTTCATACCACTTTTTTCGCTCACATAATCAAAAAATTCCTAAAACAAAAAGATAATAGTGAATGGTTAAATTAAATAGCAAAAATTATGAATTTGCAAAAAGGAAATACACATAAATTATGAATTTGCAAAATGGCTGTATGAACATTAAAAAATTCATAAAAGCACCGATAGTCAAAAATTAACTGATTTTTTTTTTATTTTCAAGTTTTAATAATTTTATTTTAGAGCTTCAGATTTTGATTAATTTCTACCTCAAAATTTTATGTAAATTCCATTTCACCTAATTTGTAGACTTTACCGGTTCAGATAAAGAAGCAAGGAATAATTAATCAAAATGCTAGTAATTCAATCGTTGTTTGGAAAATTTTCGACTGTCAAGAATTTCCGGATAATTTGTCGCAATTTGTTTCAAGTCAGTTTGTTTCTCGGAAAGCTAAAGGAAAAAATTTTTGAGTAATTATATATAATCAATTACCTTATTTTCATCAGCTAGTTCTCGATAATATTTGCTACAACGAATAAGCGCTGTTAATTGATCGGCACGAGGACATCGACAAAAAACGTTTCCTACCTTAAATTATTTGTGAAAATTTTTTAAAATTATATAAATTTTGCACCAAAGGATTACTTATTTATTTATTATACGTCCGACTTATAAATTTTGTATGCAATTGCAAAATTAAAATCTGAAAATTTTTCAAAGAAAACAAAAATAATTTGACTTTCTTTTGGACGATACTATCATATTAAGCTTTAAAATCATAAAGAAAAATTTACTGTTGCACATTTTTCATGCCTGAAATCATCCGGAAATAGTAAAAATAAGAATTGAATAATTATTTTAAAAAGTTTTAAGAATTACAAAATCTTCTTCATTGTTGACAGCATGAATAGGGATGGGTGTCCAGTGAGATGGCCATTGCTTACTCTCTGGATAGTCTTTTCCAGGTATTCCCGTGGGATACATACCAGCCAAATTAGCCATAGCACTAATTAATGTTCGATTTACATCGGTGCTTCTGATATATAACTGTAAATGTTTCAATGTTTTTTGTTAGCGCATTAATTTCTGCGTAAGCCGTATAAAAAAGATGGACATTAATCAGATATATATATATATATATAAATATAGGAAGTCGTTTACTAAAAATCTAAAAAAATATTCATCGCATTTCACTTGTGAATTTTTAACAGTTGTAAAATTAAATGCAATTAACAATCCTGATTTAAAAACAATAACTGTCTATTTTTTTTTTGACCTATTTACTTTATGAACTTCTACTTCTGTTGTCAATAACTTTGAAAAATTTTTTCTAATTCGATCTATTTACTAATGAATTCTCTATATTAGAATAAATGATGAAAAATAGCGGAAATAATTTTAACTGAAATTAAAATTTATTCAATAGAAAATGAAGGAAGCAAACTTCTTTGGGTTTATAATTATGCGACAAGAAATTATAATTTTTTGCAATGTATCGCTGTCGAATGAGACGTCCAAGAGCGAATTGTTGCCTCATTCCAAGCTAAAAACTTCAATTAATGCTTAATAAATGATTTGAATTTAAACTTAGCAAAAAAAAAATTTCTAAAAATTTATTTGATATATCATTTAACCTCTGTGAGTTCACCCCAACCGTATTGCCACGCTTCTTCCTGATGAATATCGGTTGGATATGCAAATATCGGAGCACGATCACCATGTCGCCAAACCTGCTAATTCCAATAGGAACAACTGGGAAATAACAAACAAATAAATAGCAATTTAGCAGAGTAAATTTTGGTCGAGGTTGATAAGCAAAATAAACTGAACTGATAGTTTATTATAACAGCATCACAATCAATTATCAAAAGTTTGAGGAATTAATGCCATGCAAGATTGATAGTTTCATTTCTAAAGTTGAAAATTTCTTCCCCTAAATTTGTGCCAACTTTCTGAGCGATGAAGCAATTTTGCAATAAATTTCGAAAAGAAAAATTTAGCACTTTTAACGCTGCAAAATATTTTAATCGCTAATCGTAATTAATTAAATGAACCAACAAAGTAAAGCATACAATTTGTACGAAAATTAATTCATCGATTGCAACTGTTTTTTCAGTCAAAATAAGCAATAATATATGAAATACTGCCATTCTATAACACAATTCCATTTACGGAAGCAAAAAAAAAAAATTCACAAAATGATTTTTTTTTTAATACTTTGAAATTGATAAAAGTATGCAAAAAAATTCTTCCCTCTATTTCATTCAAACCAATAGAAGGTAAAGTTAAATTTATCCAAGCCGATCTGTTTAGTAAATTTATAACGAATGAACAGAAATTAAAAGTTTTTATTCCAGTACAGTTAAAAGTTTACCACGAGAATTTAAATTTACCACTAAAATAGCTGCTATTCAATTTAACAACATAAAAAACTAAGTTAAGAAATTTTTTGATGGAATGGAATTTCTTTCTAGTAATGAAACTTTTCTGGAATGGTTAAAAAATCTCTAAAATACATTCTTTTGAATTTAAGTTTATAAATTAGTTAAGGAAATTATAAACTTGAATTATTTTAAAGTGTATTATAGGAGAACATACCTGTAAATCCGTCGACTGAAAAGCGTTTTTTTTCGTTGAATAACCAACAGCAATAAATCAATAATTAGCAAAACCATACCTTATCTTATCAAGCCAAGAACAGAGATGATAGCAGCACTGATATTCTACGCTTCTATCATCAACGAAAACATTAAATTAATTATCCATCTTCTGCACATTTAATTTTTGCTCTAAATTATTGAGAGCTATCAATTAGTACAGCAATTGTGTTTGAATTTCATTTGTGATTTATTGTAAAATCTTGTTTAGTTAGCAAATTGACGAATAATTGATTTCAAATTTTGATTCGGGTTATATAAGAATAAAAATATCACTAATGTATGTATTATTTGACTTCGTGTTTTAAATTATCAGACAAAACTGATAACAAAAAAGAAAAAAAATCGGAAAGTGCAAGAAATGAACAAAGCAGAATAATAGCAACTATAAGTGATATGATCTTTTGATCATTGATTTTTCTTTTTTGTTTAGCATCATATTAAATCTTACAGTTAATGGAAATGAGAATTCGTAGATTTGTCAAAAAATGATCAAGGATATATTGATTTAAATCTGTAAGTTCCATAATTTTTATTATATAGTCTGTAATTTTTGTTATCAATGTAGATTATCAGATCTTAATCAATGATTGCGACCTAATAAGATCCTCATCGATAATCATCACGGGAAACTGTTAAAACGGTTATAGCAGCAATTTCCATTGAGATAAACATTTTCATCGCGGTAACGTACGTTGCTATTATGAGTTCTTGGCTTCTGTCCAAAATTTTGGCATTTTTTTTGATGAGATTTTTGATAGAATTCGTATGGTTACTTTTGTTTTATATATAAATTTATTCTTTGTCATTAACTGTTGTGAATATCTTTTTCTTGTACGTCGAAAATCTTTTTACGTACGCAAAAAAAAATTTTTGTGTAGTCTACGAACTTCAGTTATTATCGTAATGTTGTTTTAGAAGTTTTAAAAGAAAATTATAAATCATACACTGACTTCAGTTCGTGAATAATTTGGCATACTTTTTTTTCACTTGAATATGACGGAATTTGGCATGTATATATTAGTCTTGCCGAAATGTAGCGGAATTTATCAGTTTTATTTTATGTGAATATGTTGGAAATATTCTTTAACATTCGGTTCAGGATGGATTCCTTGCCATTTCAAATTTAAGTTAAACTAGTTTACAGGAAATATTGGTCTAGACGATTTCCAGCGATGTTTGTTTTAATGATGGACAACATTCAGTAACTTGAATTTCATTTTGTTATATCAGAGAAATATGTTTCTTCCGGTAATTATTACGATTTAATTTTTCCATAAATAATATAATTGCTGTAATTTCTTTATTATCGCAATCTATTCCTTTCCATCTTCCAGATGTTTTAGATCATATTTCGATATCCATTTAATCTCTTTTTCGTTCTCTTTGATTTGTGCGTGGAAGTTTTATCTCTCACGTACACGTAAATTTTGTTTGAGCTCCACACTACTTGGATTCTTGTATAGGATTAAGGTTCAATAATGCAGCATGAGGCCGAATTAAAGAGTAAAAGTAATATATTCATTATTATTAGTTTAAGTAATCAAGTGATTGTCAAATCGAAGTCTCCAATCTCCATATTAATCAGCTGTTCTTCAAATAGAGCATAGAAATTAGCGAGGTAATTTTTCGAATACACTTTTCTAAATATTGTCATCAGTTTTATCGTCTCTCTATTTTCATTACCAATAAAAAAATTCTCAGTTTATATAGTGGAATATGGTCGGAAAAAAAATGTGATATGATAGCATCGAATTATTTTTACCTTTTATTTTGTTATTACCCTGTGGAGAATCTCAGTTTAATTATACTGGAAATCAAAATTTTATTATTTCACTACTCTCACACTTGATGAGATGTTTTTTTTAGAAGTGTTATGTGTAATAGTTCCTGTAATCGTCTCACTTATTTTGTACATTATAATCATCTCCAGATATCTCTGTAAAGTCTTAATTATTTGCACACTATTTATCATTATTAGAATACTTACTATTCTCGATTTCAGTCTGGCTATTCTGTTATATTTTCATGTTCAGTTTAGTTATCTTCTGGTTTTCCTGATAAAATGTACATTATGGTAGTTTTTTTTGCTGTTACCTTTTTATCATGATCTCTCTCGGTATCGTAACTACTAAAAAGCAGTTTTAATGTTAACACTCTTCTATTTAGGAGAATAATTTTTTACAATTTATCAGATAAGTTGTGAAATTTGCTTTCCATCGTAATATTGTAAATGTGGTACTTGTTTGGCCTTTTCAGGATGGTAGCGAACATAACCTACGCCTACCAGGATGTAGTAGAAATGATAATCAGGATCTGCATGTATTTTGTGTCGTTGGAAATCGTGACAAAACGCTCTTTGTTGCCGTTACCTCATCTATTTTTTACGTATATTTAGCTCACGTCAGTACTTCTCAGCTTTTAATTTGTAGTTTTTTCATTCTGTTGGGAGCCTACCATCAAAATTTGCGGTGAGAGAAGGAAATTAGCTCGTTGAATTTATTAGGGAGATAATAAAACGCAAACTATTTAGGAATTAGTGCATAACTATTGTTATCTAATTAGTGTTTTCGAGAAATTAGTCATATTCTTGGGGCTGCTTTGATCTTACGATTTCGTAGTATTTTCAAGAAGGCAAAATTTGTTGAGAAGGCTTTAAGCTATAATGTTTTTTATATGTTCTTGCTTTAGGTGTTAATAAATTTTGAATTCTATTTTTTTTAGCCTCAGCTGTTGTTGTGTTCATTCAGACGATCTGAAGAAGATGTGAGAGAAAGGGGCGAATATCGAAAAGTTTATTGGCGGCATGACTCCTCTGCAATTTGTTTCACGGTTTGTCTCGATTTTTTTTTAAATTAAGAAAGATGTGGATTAGAAATAGCATGAACAATAAGTGTGTTGAGTTAAATAATTGAAGGCTAACAGCATGAGACTTTTTTAGAGACTAATGTTTATCCATATCTGATGAGAGATTACGGTACTGCTAGACGATATGTAATATATTGTATCCGAACGGTGCATTATTTATGGTCAAAAAAAGCAGAAATTGAAAATCCCAACCACCGATCTGTTCCGTTTGAATGATCGTTTATTTGCTCTTTCAATGATGTTACTAATTGATCTTATGTTCTCTGAAAATTTGCTAGATGAATTTTGTTATCTGGCAAAATTTTTCGCATTGTTTCCTCTTTTCTTGATCATCACTAAAACTGAAATATTGAATTGAAGTTGTTCCCTAATTTTATTTTTTAGACTTCGAAAAATTTCTTATTGCTGTATCGATTAGATGTATCATCCGACAAACAGTCTTTCAATTTAACTGAACCGCGTGAGGAACACTTAAGGCGTACATCGCAAGAGTTATTTATTCATGAAAAGAAACCAAAAACTGCAGCATACTTGTCAGTTGTTGCACGACTTGACAGTTCAGCGACATGGTTAGTGTTTCTAAATTACTCCAGAAATTGAAATTTTTTACATTGAAATTATAAAACTAAATATATATTGGTAGGAAATCACATATATGAACTTTGTCCAGTTACTTTTGCGCAAATTTAATACAGTTAAACGTGTTTGTGATTTTTAATCTAGACATTTTGAAATTTATCGAAAATTGGTCTTAGGATAATGTGCGCTTACGCTGTTGTTTTGTAGCATCGTGCCTTTCCGAGATGACTTATTTGTTTGTTTACAAGACGGCTGGTTGCATCGCATATCATGGGGAGGTGTTGTTGATAAAAATTTTTCGTTTCACTTATTCGACGTTCCATTTGCTGTCGATCAGCTGCAGTCTAAAAGTAAGCTAATACAAAGAAATGAAGCTAAGAATTTAGTAGGTATTATGTTTTTTATTGAATTAATTTTCAGACATGATCATATCAATTTTTGTTATTTTTTCTGATTACCAATATTTTTTCATGTTTTTGAATTTTCTTTTTAGCTGAACATGTGCAAGAATTGGGCACACATGTTGTTGACATGGCGTATGCTCCTCTTATTGGTGGATTTTGTGTAGTACTTTCTAATGGTACTGCTGCTTTGCTGACGTCTCCTTCTTCCAGGTTTCTTCCAAAGGTAACGTTTAAAGCTATGCTCGTTTTATAAATCTTTATCATTTCACTAGCTTTTTTAATTTTTCAGTCAGTGAATTACTGGTAGTCCAATCAATAAAAGACTATTGATATACTCCCTTGTTGATTGAGCTGTCAGTAATTATGATGAAATAACATGGACATTTTTCTTAACGCATAACATTAATATTCGATGTATGGTGCAACTTCAGCCGGGAGAAACGACATATGAATGACTGTTTGATTTCGTTTTCCTGACTGTAATGAATGTGAGGAATATACTAAATTCACAAATTTAGCTTCGCTTATACTGCTTTGCATGCTCGAACCTGTTTTATTATATGAATTATTTTCAGGAATTGCTAGGAATATGGGCAGTACAGTTGAGCGATGCTGTTTGTACCGCTGCAAACCACAAATATCGACTGGTTGTTTATGGCTGTAAAAAGTATAGATCTTAAAAATTTGTAAACCAAATTAATACTTGTTTTGAAAATTTTAATATATGCTTTGCTTTTTTTAAAATAATTTGTGCTTTTTCAGCGGTGATATTGCTGCTTTCCACTTAGACGATGTTAACGGTTCTTTAACACACACATTTCGCGTATCGCTTCAAGTCAAGAATGGACCAGGTTTAGACAATTATCGTAAAATATACTAGCTTTTTAAAGCTTAACATTTTTGAACAAGTCTAGATTCCAAATTCAAACACGATTATGAACAGTCTTTATAACTGCTCATAATTATAAGCACCATTTTGAGTCCCACTTGAAAATATAATGTAGATTAGTGTTATTCAAGAGCACTTGAATTGCACTCCTTCATTCGTTATTGGAATTCAGAATTATTGAATCGAATGGGTCAAGTGCGACATGTGGAATGTTATGCACAGGGAACAGCACTAGTAGCCATCTGGTCGCCGTTATTATGCGATAGTGGATATGCAAGTAGTTCGAATACAGTACCTATTGTGGCTATATTTAGCTCATTCGGTACTCAATTATGGTGCTCTCTCGAATCTTCAAGTGATAGGTTTCTTTTTATTTTATAAAATATTTCTGATTTGTTGGATTGTGCTAATAACATAACTAGCAAATGGACTAAGAATAAGTGAATAACTGACAGTATGATCTATTTTTGGAAATCATATATACCTGGATATGGTGACTTCTTTTCTTATTGATAGCCTCCTAATATGATTCAGAATTTTTGTAGAAGCTAGGTTTAGTTCTGATTTCTAATATATTTAAGGATTTAATCAATTTAGGAGTATCTGTGCTGCCGGTTCGTGTCACTGGATTGATTGGGGTCCAGAAGGATTTAGCTTATGGTTGGCTACTGATACCGGATTACGTGTATTGCCTATTGCCCATTCTGTGAATTCAAGTGGTGTAGTGAGTTTTTATTGTTGAATTGTTCAAATCTGAGCTATTAACGAAGTGTTTGCTAAGGATCTTATTTTTAGGTTAATTATTTAGTGTAAGTCATTAACGGAACTTACCTTGTTGTTTATTAATTCAAACTACTGTTAGCATATTTATTTAGCTCTAGCTATAACTAATTTGTGAATAAAATCTTCATGTTTAAAAACAAAATTTTATAGTTTAATTACAGGAAAGTACAGATAGGATTATTTTTCTTTCAAGCAGTCATATCTATCTGGGTGCTGCAAAAGAGCGAGAACAAAGTGTTAACGCTCCTCACAGCATTTGGCATGTACTTTCAGTACCGAATAATTATTTATCATTCAATTGGCCTATTAGAGTAAGTAATTATATACTGTAAATCATATATTGCTTTGATTAAAAAACTCAGCTCTACAATAGATGACCATGTTCGACTTTGACGATTTGATCAGTAATTAATCCAATCATGACATGAATTCAGGCTATAGGTAGGGGTTTCCGTTCCGTGAGTACAGGAGGTGGGTCCTTTATACACTGAAATGGAGAAGGCTTTATTATTATGCTATAATCATTTAGTTAGTTGAAATGGATGATCACGGACAATGGCTTGTCGTTGCGGGTGCTCGAGGTTTCATTCATTATAATTTAATGACACGTAAATGGCGCATGTTTGGTAATGAATCACAGGTAGAATTCCAACTAAAACTTCATTTGCTTTTTATAGTTTTTGAGAAATTTAATCGATTCAATTATCTTATTTGCCTACATTTCATTGTAACTTTCTCTGTCGGTTAAAGAAATTAATTTTATGAGTTATCTGTGCTAGGTATGGGAAATCACAAATTTAAATAGAGATAAAATAACACTGAAAAGAACTATTAATTTTATTAAATTATTAGTCTGAATCCTTTTGCTTCATTTACTTTTTTACATGTAAATAATTTAGATTTAAGAAAAGTTGATAAACTTAATGCTGGGCGAAATTCAGGAAAAAGATATGTTGGTCACCGGTGGAATGACTATTTGGGGAGGATATGTGGTGATTGCCTGTTACGATATTGATCGTTCAAAGGAGGAATTACGGTTTTACCCACTGGAAAATCAGTTAAACAATCAGTTTTGCATAAGACATTCAGTTAATTCAAGAATGCTTCTTTTAAATCGTCGGTAGATACAATATTTATTTGAATTTTTTTTTCCTAATTGATTTGATCTTAAAAGAGATTTATTGGTTAAAGAAAAAATCGGGAAATATTTATCAATCAGAAGTGTGTTTATGATAAATTATCACTACCAAAAAATTGAGCGCGTTTTTTGCAATATATTTCATGATTTTCATCTGGAATCTTTTTCCGTATGCAGTAATATTTGCAGACAAAACAAACTGATAACATTTGATGTGGATTCATGCATATTTATCTTCACTCTCTTTCTTGAAAAGAATTCCAAGAATGTGCAGTCAGTGATCCAAATAGACAGGTATTTATTGGGATAATAATAGTGAAATGCCTGCCATTTAATTATTTTTTGCTGAATTTCTACTTAATGATATATTATAGAGATGGTTCTGATTATTTTTTGCAAATAAAACTTATTTTTACATCAGTGATGATTGGAGTAATAAGAAATATCTTAAAAAGACAAAAAGTTACTTTTAGTGCAAATGAATTCCAGATGTGCAGAAATACGTGTTCAGGATATAGTGCCGCATGCAGCTTGTGTTCTGTCCGTTGAACCAGCATCTTTAAATCATGATTCTCGTTAGTTTCAAATTATTTTCTCAAACTGTTAATTTGTATGTAGTTATTTTTGGTGAGAGTTTTTTTATATTTTATTTTAACGGTTTTTAAATGATTGGAGTTCTCTTGTTCGCATACCAAGAATCAATCTATTACAGAAATAAAATTTTGTGATGGTGTAGACACGGTTTTCATAAATGTTTGTGGAAGATTGATAATGTTGAATCCTGTGAAACGCGATAATGTTGGGAGTGATTCGTCGGATGATGATGGAGCTTCTTTCCAGGTCTTTTATTTTGTTTTAAAATAATAAACATTATATCTTTGAGTTTTTATATTTGTGATCATTTTTCTTGTTAAATAGATGAAAAATTCAAGTCGAAATTTACAAATGTCCTATATTGTAGTCCCTTTTGCTCGTATCTCGGTTCTGCTTTAAATGTTCCGTGAAAACTTGGTGCCAACTATACATTTTTTTAGCAATCTTCAATCATTTTTTATGGATGAAAATAAGTGACTAGATGCTTCTTATTTTAACTTCGTTTAAAAAATTATCTTTCATATCATGATTAATAGCGACGATTCTATAACATCAAAATTACTTTCTTTATATTTAGTTAAGTCGGCCTATGTTAATTGCATCATATGTAGAACAAATTTGGCATGATGCTGCTGATGAAGCCGACTATCATAAGCCACATTTAACACATGCACTCTGGCTGAATTGTGGAGCGAAAGGAATGAAGGTTGGTTTTACTTTTATCTAAAACTTACGATTTTTATTGTCATTAATAAAATTCGGTTATTTTTATTTTGAATTGTTCCACTTAAGGTTTGGATGCCGTTATTTACTGTCCGACAGACCAATGATACTAACTATAATTCGTGCCATTCATTTATCAGTAAACGTATTATGTTACCTTTCGAATTGGATATCGCTCCACTTGGTGTGTCATTTTATTTCATTTTTCTTAATGATGCAAAAGTCTTTGCATTTAGCTTTTTCTGAGGAATTTTTTGAGATATTTTACTTATACCGATTATTTTCTAATAGAACTATGAAAATTTTCCTTCAAAGTTGAGGCAATGATTATTGTTTTGATGTTGCAGAAAATCTTATTTTTAGTTATATGCAGTCGAGATTGCTTAGCAGTTGGTGTGGAAAGTTGTCCAACATATTCGGATGAAAAAGAGTCTATGAGGCATTTGCCAATATATAATTTGCATCGTAAAAGCGAGGCAAGTTAACGCATGAAATTGATATAATAGTATCTCTGGATCAAAACTTCAAAGGAAATGTGCCAGCGATCGCATTTGCCTAAGAGAACGCCAGCAAAATTTTTGGAATGCCTTCAATTTTATTCGACATCACTGACAGATTTATTAGAAAAATATGTTTCATTAAGCAGTCATTAGCACTACTGTTTTACTTAAAGTTGTACAAAGTATTCTATAAAAAATTCCTAGTAATTGTTGATGCGGTTTTCCAGGTTTTCCTTCATCATCTATTACGTCAACTTCTGAAACGAAATCTCGGTGTGTATGCATTGGAAATTGCTGCTACTTGTAATCGATTACCGTATTTTGGTCACGTACTGGAGCTGTTATTGCATAATGTGCTAGAGGAAGAAGCAACTTCTTCAGAACCAATACCAGGTTATTATTTTTTGCAAAACTAAAATTATTTCGAAATTCAAGTGGAATTCAGATTTTCATGTAAAGATTGAATCATGAATAGTTTTTTAAAGTAGCCAGTTTATATTTTAAAGTAAATATTGTTGTATTAAGAAGTGATATTTTTTATTTTTAATTGATCGCTTTCGACTATATTTGGTAGTTTTTTCAATAGGTAATGTATTGCTTGACAAATGAAGCCTTGCTGAACAAAACAGAACTAGTATAATAGGAATTAGTGGAGTAAATGTAATAGGAATTAGTGGAGTAAATGTATATTTTCTTATAGATCCACTGCTACCTCGTGTGGTAGCTTTTATCCAAGAATTTCCAAATTATCTACAAACAATCGCTCATTGCGCTCGGAAAACTGAACTAGCTCTTTGGCCTGCTTTGTTCGCTGTGACAGGTCATCCACGTGAGCTTTTTGAGAAATGCATCAGTGATGGACAACTTGAGAATGCAGTCAGCTTTCTCATCATTCTGCAAAACATGGAAAGCAGTGCAGCTAGTCAGGAGGTTTGTTATTGATTTTAAAATTTGGGAGTTACTTTCATACATCTTCAAGTCTTTACTTCTAATGTGTAGATCTTATAGTCTATGAATTATTGTGCGAAGTTAAGTTTACTATAAACACAAAGTATCAACGAAATTTTGCATTCCATTCTTCTCCAAGTTCAAGCAAAAGAAATCAACAATTCGATGCCTTTAAGGTTTACTCGGATAAAATAGAGGGTATTTTGTTTGTTAACTGCTTGAAAAGATCGAAGAATTAGTCTATAACCGTTTAAAGCATGCAACAGTATTGTTGGAAGAAGCCCTTTCGAAACGGCAGTGGTTGACAGCACGCGATATTGTTCGCTTTCTTCGTGCTATTGATCCTTCCGATATCGATGATCCGTCGCGAACTCCACCGTGTCAGAAACCACATCGCAACGTAGTCAATGTAGTATCACGGATTCCGACGCGCATGTCTACAAATGACAGTGAAGAGACAGATTCATTCGTTTTTGGAAGCTATACTGGACCAGGTGAAATCTTACGACATAAATGTAATCGAATTTATTTGTATGGGAAGTTTTTCAAAGCTTCAAATTACATTTAAAACACTTAAAAACAATCTTTACAGTTAGTTATGCGGCAGTAAAATAGGTTGGTGAATTTTTAAAAATTAAAAAATGGTCCAGTGATGGCCAATTTCATGTGCATAAGTACAGAAAAGACGAACAAAAAATAATCATTTTACAGGAATGATAAAAAGACCGAGGCCGTCACAACAAGATGGTGGATGCAGTAGCCCGTCCGGGCGAAAAGATTCAGCTGGAAAGAAAGCTTCGAAAACAGGTTCTTTTGATGCACCCTTAAGTCCGAGAAATGTCAGTGCTTCAATGACGACATATCTTGATGATGTGTTGGACCAACATGCCGTTCATTTATTGGAAGATTGCAGTATTCAGGATTTAGGTTAGTATCTTTTTTTACAAGGAAATATAAAAACATTGTGTTTGGGCTACCGCATAGTAATAGGTAGTGATTGATTTGTTCTAATTTCATCATTATCCAAAACTCAATGAAGTATTCTTTTGATATATTTGTCTTGAATTATGTTAAATACAATCTTGTTTAAAAGCGGAGCGTTCTGGAATAGCATCACACGTTTGTAATTAATTATTTCATTTCAGGTGCATTCGCCGCATATTTCGATTTCAATTTAGTAAGTTGGCTTCGAATACAGCGGCACAGTATAGCACGAATTAATGATTTTCCATTAGCTTTAATGCGACTGCATGCACAGTTCAAATGGCCTTATCCATTGGTCAGTCAAAGTATTGTAGAACAATTAACGAAGAAAATTGAAGGCATTAAAATTTCGCCAAGTGCTGCATCGCTGGCTAGTTTACAGTGTAAGTTATGGAAGAATTTTGATAACAATTTTAAGAAATTCATATTGTTTCGAAATGGGAAGCATAAATCCGTATTAAAAGTGCTACTGATATATGATTAGCAGGTGGGCTGAATGAGATGGCTACATGATTCTTTTTTATTCGTTTGGTTTGCTAAGTGCTAAGAGTCAAAAGCTGTTTTCTGCAATGAAACAATTAAAATTATATTTTGTATAATTTTGTTTTTTAGCGCTGTCAACAGCCAATAGTAATGCTTCGCTAAATACCGAGGAACAGCACCGAAGCGCATCGGTTGCTTCTGCGGATTCAAATTCCGTATCCATCGACGATAAAGAAGGTGTTATTTATATCATCAGATATGAAGTCGTTTTTCCTGATTCATGACTTAATTTATACTGGATTTGAATTAGCAATATCAAAAAATTTCCTGAGAGTTATTAATTTCACTATTTGTTGCAGATAGAAAAGAACCACTATCTATGTGTAGGCAATCCATGTTAAGTATGGCTTCCGCAGAAAGTCGTTCAAATTCGTGCAGTGATTGGGAAGGTTAATTTGATCTTATTGAAGCTTTAAAAAGAAAAAATGCTGACGGGACGAAAATGAAATTTGCTTTATGCATGAAAGAAACATTTACATTCGAGACAGATGTTAAATGTAATTGCCACAGTTGAAGTATTCATATGTTATTACCAGATATGTTTAAACATTTGGTTGTAGGTTTTGAAAAAATATGTGGTGAAGTTGCTGCACGCGGATCGCAAGAAAGTGAATTAGAGTTGAAATACATGTTGGATGTTATGTACGAAGCTGGCTACGCCAGTTGGACATTGTTGGTATGAAATTTCAATCATTTATTTTTGTTTGCTTTCCCAGCATGTTTGTGAAGAAGGTTCATACTTCTTCATCTAATCGTTGAAGTTCAACAGCATTTGTTGTTAATATTTGGGCAGCTGTGATGATATTTTTTTATATGATATATGTGGCAGAATCTTTTAAAAGCAGCCATTTCGTTTTTGTCAAAACTTCTACTAAATCTTGAATAAATATTTCATCATAATGATCGAATAAAAAATCATTTGATAGTGTTATGAACTAATTCCATTTTCAACAATACTAGAAAAACTACAATGGTGCTGTCATGTTGTTAATTAACTAAACTATAGTGATTCTTTTTGTTTGATAAACTGACACAGCAAGGGTTACGAAACAATTAATAGACATAAAAGACTAGCTCGAAGCATCTGTTTTGAACATGCAAGCATATTTAAATAATTAGGGTGATATGAAAAAGATGCTTATTTCAAACCTTTTTTTTCAGCTATGCTTGTTACGACGTGATCTATCATTTCTTAGTAAGCATTTCTCAAAGAGTTTTGTGCAAAGCTGTGGTCCAGATACCATGAACGAATTGCATAAAGGATTGGAGCAGCTGCAGAATTGGGCTTCAGTTAGTTGGTAGGTTTTGTATACTTGAATTTCATTGAAGAAATTGGTTGCAGTTGGTAGAAATTTTCTGGCTATTAATGGAAATATTAAATGTGTTTAAAAGGCACTGTGTTTTTTGGTTAATATTAAGTTATATGATAGATCGGAATCTGTATTAGGAGAGAAGAATAAAACGACAATAAAAAATATTTTGAGTTTCGGATACCGAACTCTAATCGATGCATACAAGAGACATCTGTTAGTAATTGGAGAGAGAAGTGTGGAACATGTGGTTGCGAAAGCATCATCTGTCGTACCTGATTATTGTAGCAGCAGATTGTCATCAATCAACAATTCACATGCGGGAATGAATGGAATTTCTGAATTAGGGGGAGAAATATTTCCAATCATTGAGCAAAAAATATCGCCCACATCAGGTGAATTTTTTCTAGAAAAAGCTGTAGAAAATAATGGTTATTAAAGCTGTCAGTGTTACGAGATGAAAAGCTATCGTGAGCCACAGTAACTCTTAGATTTTTTAATTACTACATTATCAGAAATCCATAATGTCATGATTTCTTTATCTACTATTATATCTAACTGAGACGAAATTTCCAGGATCTTGTTGAATTTCATGATGTCAGCTACATCCTTTCTATTAAATGGAGTTAAATTACATCATGTATTTCGATACAGTGCATTTATTTTATCCTCAAAGTGATGATGAGAATCTGACTAAAATCCAATCCCATTCAGGATGTTCTTTTGTACCGGACGGCCACATAGAACCAAATGGTATTATACAAAAAATTAATTCCGTGCCACCTCATCAATTACCAACAGCAGCAGCGATGAATTTAATAAAGACGACGTTTACTCCACCACGAGAAAACGGCGAAATTAGTAATGGTTATGTTGACATAGATAGCTGTTCGGTAGTAAGTGATACGACGATTGTTGGACGTGAACAATGTAATTTGATGTAATTAACAGATAATTATTCTCTTTATATTCAACTAAAAATGTTGCATTTTCTTGCTGCATTACAGTGTTCGATTTATAGCACTTTAAAATATGTTTCGATTATTGCCACTTCCTTCTTGTTACATAAAGTTGCTTTTTTTTTATTTAGGAACCATTTAGTAGGGAAATTATATAAGTACGAGATGATGTTTTTCACTTCATTTGAATTCCAGTTTTTTACATAAACAATTCTAAAAATTCTATGCATCTAGAAAAATCTAAATATTTGATCATTAATTCTGGGTTAAGTGTTTATCAAACTGTCGATATTTGATATAATCCAGAAAGGATTGTTTGTTATTTTGCATTTTTGGAGCTGATCAGAATGTTACAATTTCTAATATAAAATATATGCAGAACAATAGCTGATTGTGTTTCTCCGTTCTTCATTGTTAAATTGGAATTTATTATTTATTCTGGATATATGAATTGCAGTTCGTATCACCTGTTATAATCGTTAAGTATTTTTTGCATTTTTCATTCATATATGATGTTTCGTATAATTTTTATTTTTTCTTCTCAGTCGACTTGTTAAATTTGATTAATGCTGAGCTCTTTTTATTTTTACTTGTTGTGATGAACGTACAGGTACGCTTGCGCCTTAATCACGCACATTCATCTTTTGTCTTTTTCGATTTTTAACGTTGAACATATTGCATTTATAATTTGAAATCCATTAATTAATCAGCTTATTTTAAATTAGATCTTTTGGGATTGTAATTTTATTATTAGTCGCTGTTTCTTTCAACTTTTCATGTGAATCGATTTTTAAATTATTTCATTGAATATGGAGGTCAACAAATATCTGCTGCAAGAACAATATTCTTGTTTTATATCATAATTTCGTTTTTTTATTCTATTTCATCAAGATATGTGTCATCAGTACTCCTCTTCTTTATCTGTGATAAAATTTGTTATATGGTTCGAAGCATTTATGTTAGTATTTTGAAGGATTTCAAACTCTTTAATTCCGTAAAGCTTGGTTTTTTATTTCGAATCGTTTGCAAATATAATCGTAAATTAAATTCACTAACTGTGATTTTGGATTCTTTCACAACATCTCATTTTTTAATTCCTATCACTGCTAGAAACTTAAACAGAGAAGAAGAAAAGAAATTTTTAAGGAATTAATGTTCAATCCATCCCTATATTTAACATTTTTTTTTGGAATTTGGGATTGACTCATTCTTATTAAAAAAAATGCTTCATTTCTTTTGGTGCTTATTTTTAAATGAAGGTTAACTATGGGACTTATGCATCAAAAAAAAAAAAAACAAGAAATGTTAGCAATTTCTTTTTTTTGATCGATTAACAATGCAGTACAAAGCTAAAAAAGATTTTCGTTTTTCAACAAACGATAAAATTTTTCGGAAGATGAAATAGACAGCAGCGGGAGCAGTAATTATCATAACTGAATGAAAAAGTTGGACGTACGATTACGCCCTTTTTATAGCAATATCATTTAATAAAAGATTAGAATGAGAACATAAAATAATCAAACAACATTTAAACCTCCTTAGTGAAATTGATGAATACTTTTATTGCTTATTATTCGGAGATATTAAAGTATTCAATTGAGTCAAAGATAAAATACTAAGCGTTTTCCATTTAAATGTTTTTCAATATCAATGGCCATTCATATGTAAAAGTAATTTAAAATTAATGGTCTGATTTAGAGTGGAATAAATTTAATGATTGCTCGAAGTGTCCAATAAAATTCGTTATTGTTAGTAAACTTGCATTTTGAATTTTCTGAAATTTATAATTTATATATTAATATTCCATTAAAAATGGAATATTGTGCATATCATGCAAAATATTCAAAATTTTTTGTTAACGAATTTGATAAATTTGAAGAATCAGTTGAAAAAATGTGACAGCATTGTACGGATGTATAACTCAACCATCCGGTAGCAATTCTTAAAAGTTATGAAGTTCTATCAGGATAGATTACTGGTATAGATTATTTAGATTATTTTGAAGTTCTATATTAATGAATTACTTCAAACATTTACTGCTAACTTAATCAAAACCATTTTTAAATGTTGGAATCAAATTTTATTGAGGTGGTCGAGAATTATGGGGATACCTTTTATATGCAACAAGACTGCATCTCTTGGATCTTATCATTGATTCACATCAGGAGTTTGAGTTTGACGATTTAATCTAAATACTTAATACTATAATTAGTGTTTATTTTTATATTATATGTGTGATAATTCATGTATCATTCCAAGGAGCAATATCATATCAGAAAGTTTGTAACTTGCAAAAAAACTTTCTACATTTACGTGAAAAATAAAAATCATGATAATGTGATATGGAAAAACACCAAAATTAAGTTGGGTCTCAAAATGAAAGAGTTAAAATAGAATGAGGTGGAATATATACACAACTATTCGTTACGATGAAATTATGTTCTCGCAAAGTTTTTATATAATTATCACCTTTGATAAAATAAAGTTATAAACACTCGCATAAAGAGATTAAGAAGTTAAAATACGATATTTTAAAGTTGATAATACTCCAAAAATAAAAGCTAATTGATAATAAATGAGGATGTTAATGGATCAATTACCTATTATTCTGAAATGACAAAATAACAATTGAAATGACAGATATTTACATTTACAGTTTTATTTGGTGCAAAAAATGAAACTTATTGCAATAATTTTTCTCCCACTTTTCAATTTTAATCAAGGTAATTAATCCCTTCTTATTATTAGTACTCCATTATAATTGAAATATACTGATTTATACTGAGTCATTACATTTTTTTTAAAAAAAAACATTGCCATACTACTACTTATAAAGAATCGACTAACTTAATTGTTTCTAAAACAGCAAAATAAAATTTCACATATTTGGGAACTTTAGATATACTTTTTCATCCAATAAACTATCATAATTAACAGTAAATTTTTAAATTGTATAAAAAAGAGCCTGATTTAAATTTCAGTTAATGCTATCAATATATCACAAGAAGAATTATCACCGAAATGTCTCAAATATGAAATTAATCTAACACGAGTGAATTATTCATTCGGTTTCATGGATCCATTCTATAATTTTGCTCAAAATCTCATCCAATCAATTATAAACAGTTATTATCAAAAGGTATTCCAACAAATTATTTATCATCGAATTGTTCATTCTCATAATATGATGGAATGTTAGAAAGTTTAATCTGAGCAAAAATTATAATTAAAATGATAAATTAGTATTATTAATTTGATAAATTAAATATTGTGGTATTCATTAAGTTGACAAATTTTGAAGCAAAATGAGAGATATGTAAAAATTTTGTTTTTTCCAGAAATTAATAAGCGTAATATTATCATCATATAATCATTTTCAAGCTGATAGTATTCATCATATTCTCCTACAACAGGTTTGCAAATTTGTATATTAATTTGTTAAAAAAATATTTGGAAAAATGAATTACAAATCACTAAAAGAATGAGTAATACATAAATTTTAAATATTAAACTGCTTTATTGATTATAATCTATTATCAATTCCATTTATATTTAACAAAAAACTGTTAACAATATTTGCAGCGATGGATAATAGTACTGTTAATACTGAGCATACTGTACATTGTATTACTACCAATTTGTGGTATTTTATTTTTTTGTGATTTATGTTTCTGTGCAACTGCTGATTCGATTTCTTCTTCCGAAGTTTTAGAAATTACAAAAAAGGTCCAATTTTAGCAAATGTCATGGAAAGTTGGCTAATGTAATAATTAGCCGTAATTTTTGTGTTTAAAATGAGTAAAATTTTGGAAAAAAGACACTGAGATTGATGCAGAAATTTAATCAAAATAAGACGAATCAGAATATTTTTAATTGAAAAATTAATTGTAATAAATTGTTAAAATTGATACCATTTTTCAGAATTATATTTTACTGGGGGATAAAAAAAAACAAATTAAAGATTTTTAGCTTTTAATTTCAAATGAAAATACGGAATAATAAAATTAACTTCAATGAAGAAAAATTTTTTTTGAAGGATAAATTGCACAAATATAAATTGCATAATTTTTTTTTTAAGAATAAATTAGCAAAATTTCTATTTGTTTTGATTTTAATAATGATGGCGATAATTTTGGTGATAATTGCGACATCAATGATTGTTTATATCAGAAGTGTTAGTTATACTGTAACCGGAACAAATAGCATGTGTCAATCTATGGATGATATTTATGCAGGTTCCTGTTAAACTTAATGTTCATTAGCTTAAAAATCAATCAATGAGTAAGTTTTATAACATCCAAATTATATTTTTTATTTAATTTAATGGATATGGAATGGAATTCCAGTTAGATTCTTTTTCTGATAATGATGAGAAGATATTTTGTTAGATAATTTTAGAATAAGAATTTTGAATATTGAAAGTTTGAATTTTTTTTTTTCGAATTATATTTGTTGGAAATCGTAAATGCATTAATCTGATGAATATTGAATGCAATTTATCAAAAGTTTAAATATTACTGAAATCCTTCTTGCATGCTGTATCACTATTTTCCGGTTATATTCGATATCCGAAATAATCGGACAAATTTGTCCGTTCATGCTATCTTTTTCTTTAGTATAATTAATGCACCATTTAGCGGAACAATTGCTTTCGTAGAAAGTTCATGATTTCATTTTATCTGCTTCTTTTCTTTTTAACTGAAATTAGAATATTATATTTCAAATTTTCCGGTCCACCGCAAGATAACGCAGAAAATGCTACTCATTCAAGTTAAATTAAAAATTGAAATTTAAAATTAACCAGTTTGATAAATCACTGATAAATATTATTACAGATGTCAATCTTCTCATCGTTGCTACATCCAATGATTTGATTTGTATGCTAAACAAAACGCTAAGAAAATTAGGTGCTGGAATCAATGATACCATTCAACAATTGCCTCATAAAATAATTGGAACATTGAAACAAGATTTTCCAATTACATCACTACCAATGGTATCATTTTCATTTTTAATTTTTAATTTTCTGATACTCAAAATGATTTATTAACATATTAAAACTGCTATATCTTTGTTAATTTATTAAAAAGAAAATTTAATAGTCATTTAAAAAAAAAATTCAGTAAAAAAAAAGAATTTTATTAGTAAAAGTGTTAGGCGGTTCAGTGATTTGTAAGACAATTCAATTTATAAATTAATTTATAAATTAGAGTCAGTACTTTTCCTTTATGTTAATTCGGACCGACAATTCTTTTTCACTTGCGAAATTGTTAATCATATAATTATTAAATCGAATACTTAAGATAATTTAAGAGTTATTTTAATAAAAAATTTTCAATTTAATTTCATGAAAATCTTCAAATGAAGTGTCATTGCAAATTTCATTACCAAAATTCATTTAAATTTTAAATGTTATTCAAAAATACATTTCTTTTTTTTCCTCTTCCAATATATTTTCTATTTAAAAATGCAATGATGATATAGTAATTCTGTTTATAATTTTTTTTTTTTACTTTTCTCATTTAGTTTCGTCAATTCGACGATAGAACAGAATGATATTAGACTAATTTCCATTTATAACAGCTGGCAAAAATTGAAAATCAAATTTTCAACAGCATCAAATTTTCGAAAAAGCGAATTTGTTTTTTAGGTGATTGAAAAATTTGAGGCCAAAAATGTCACTCATTTCATTGATGATCTCATATTGGCAATTAAATCAACGAAATTATTAGCAACTAATTTACCAAATGCACTTTACCGACAATCATTCATGAAAAATATGATTAAAACATTGGAAAGAATTGAAAATTATCTGACCATTTTACTACAGGTAAATTCATTCTTTAAATAGCTTTGAAATACAAAATTCTAATTTAAAAAATTTAAAGAATTTGGAATCAAAAATTCCATCAAGCTTCAGGGAATATTTTGATAATAGTAAAACCAATAAAATCACCATTCCAGTGGTTTTCTTTCTATGATGATTATCAAATGTAAATAATGAATTTGATGATTCGGTTTTGCATTATTATCATGAAGCTAACATTATATTAAAATAGTAACCACGAAACAATGATTTCATTATTGATAGGTAACTCTGATCAGTAACTCAAATTGCTGATAAGCTATTTGATGATTTAAAAGATTGGTAACAGTAATATTCTTGATTCATTATCAGATTGTGTCATGCTTCCAATACACCTTTTATTAATTAAAACTTTAATCAACTTACATAATTGACAATACTTTCTTGGCTATCATTCTTTAACTGTCATGTATAAGATAAAAAAAGATTATTTCATCTTTATTTGATTCTACTAATTAAAAAATTTTAATTTGGAAAAATTATATGAACTTTGACATTTACTGAAAGAAATTTAAGCAATACAGTGATATACGCAAAACAGCAAAGAAAACACAGAATAATGTCGAAATTTTATTGGACCGTGTCACCGAAAGGGTCATTTTCTTATTCAAATTTTCACTTCACATTCATAAATTAAAAAAAAACGAATGAAAATTGCAGTTTGTCAAATTTTTTAGTAATTTTATTTCAAAAATTTTTAGCACAGCTTTTTTTTTCTTGATTTCTATTACAAATATCTTCTAAATTTTTCAGTTAACATTTTAAAAATTCTTTTTTTCTTTTACATTTTGCTGAATTTGTTGTGGGAATTGGTACCGCTCAGTTTGTCATTTCAATAATTTTTAGGTTAACCGAACATTGAAGCGAACAAGCAATTTTATTATTGAAATATCGAAAAAAACCAATTTAATTATTGGGAAGATAAATCAAATAATCTATAATTTGCATGTGATTGTTCGAGATGGATACCAAAAAATTCATAAATTCATGAAAACAACTCTGAGGGTATTTCATTTTTTCTCCTTACATAGAATTATTATATGATATGATTGATTACAATACCATTATTATTATAAAGAACACAGGTATCTCAAATGTTTTTACAATATTCGAATTGAATTAATTACAATTACAATGAATGTTTAAGTACAATATTGTATAATGATGATACATTTTAAGAAATATTTTTATTATTGTCATAGCATTATTGATTTTTAAGAATACTGCAAATTTTAATCAATTTTTTTCCTATCAATCAATACCTCATACTTTATAACTGTACATATAATAAATTACAATTGAATATTCAATTTTCAGAATCCAGGATTTCAGGCAGCAGCTATTTCAATCTTTCTTTTTGCAATTATTCCAGTTCTACTTCTTATCGTACCATCCATTATTGTAATAACTTGTGGTATATATCTTTTAGCAAGAAGGTATATTAGCATAATTGTAGTAATTGACTAATTGCAAATTTAATAAAGTATGTTCTAAAACTAATGAATTGAATTTTACGTTCAATAAACTCTTACCCTTCTCTCAAAAAAAAAATAAATAAATCAGCTAATCAAATAATAAATTAAATTTAAATCAAATGAATTAATCAGGGAAGAGAATTACAAAAAAAAAAAAAAAAAATCCTTACAATTGTTTATCTTATTTATCTTTTTTTGCTTATCCAAAACGTACTTCCTTACTTATCCAAAACAAACCTCTAAACTACTTCATCAAATAGCGAATTTCAGTGATCGATATCGTTGGAAGCAACAAGCAAACTGGAGATGTGCCGGTTTATGGTCTTTGCATGTTGCCGGAGCAGTATTTTTTACCGGTTGGATTACCATGCTAATTGCGAGGTTATTTTCATAATTCTAATTTTTTAATTTAGAATTTATTAGATGTTACAAAATTGATAGAAATGTTAATACTATAAATATTATAAATTTAGAAAATCAATTAAACGCATGAAAATTCTGAAAATAAATAATTCGAAGTTCCCAGTGAATTCTTCATGATATTCTTAAAAGTATTAAAAAAAATTTTCAGCTGAGAACAAAAATCGACTAATTCATTCAATTCAAATGCTGTCAGATAAATTATTTAATTTAACAAATGAAAAGAGGGAACATAGTGATAGATAATTTTTCAAAATTTAATGATATTTCATTAAATTTATAGTATGACATTTTTGGGCGGCTTTGCTGTGGAAGCTATTTGTCAACCATTTTTTCGAGATGAACAAATGCATTTATATCGTTCGTCATATTTTAATAATGCTATTGCAAAATTTGTCAAATTCTCTGAATTATCCGTTAGTACTGGGTAATTGACTTTATTCCTCAATTACTTTCTTACTGAAAAAAAAATGGAAGCATAACTTTTTAAAAGAAATAAAAAAGGAAAATTCATATTTTCCTAAAAGAATTTTTTCATTCAATTTATTTAAGATCGAAATGTTTAAGAATGACAACAATTTATTCATTCTCTCATTGATTTATTTTGAAAGTTTTTTTTTTCCTGTGGAATTATGCTAATTTGTAGTAACTTAAGAAAAAGTTTACAACAAACTTCTTACTGTAAATTTTAAAATTCATCGTAATTGTGGGAAATATATCAGCGATTTGTCATAGTTGAATTGGTGCAATAATCTTATGAAAGATGATAATATTAATGTTTGAATTTTTTTCCATAAATATGCTATCGTTAATTTTTTGGCAATTTATAGCGAATTTCTTTATCAATGCAAAAATGATAAATCGATATTAACAGCATTGAAAATAGAAACTTTCATGCAATCATACGAAGAAATGTATGCAAAATATTTATCAAATGCTACACAACATGCTAAACAATTACTTGAAACAGAATACTTTAATTTAACTTTGTCTGACATACAAATGCACGAATTCAATGTTAGTAATTCTTGCAAATAAATTTTTCAAAAGAAAAAAAAATATCTTATGCATAAATTATATGTGAAGCATTTTCCCACACAATAGTAATTTCCATAAATTAACTGAGCAGCGATATTATTTTGAGAATTTACGTGAACCTCAAATATGAGCGTAGAAAAGAGTGATGCTAAATGGAAGTTGCATCTTTTCAGAATACAATCAAAGAGTTGGCCAAATTGAAAGAGAATTTATTCGACTATGTCATTCCTCCAAGCCTTGCCGAGCATGAACAGCTATTAAACGATTCATTTGCAAATATTAAATACCGAATGTCTGAAATGATCAAAATTATGGCGTTAGTTTGTAATATTTGAAAAATACGCATAAATTTTAAAGTTATCAGTACAAATAGCAAACATTAAATTGATAGATTTGCACCAATTTATAAAATAAACTGATAACAAATCAATAATAGCTTACAAAAAGATGAAAAAAATTTGCGAAAGGAAACTTACTAGAAAAAAAATGAATTTGTAGTGAAATGGAGAAAAATGTAATTGAAATTATGAAACATTCTTTAAATTCTCAAAATTTCACACTCATTGCGCGAGAAATTATTTGGCATGAATACAATTTGACAGTTGGTGACATTTCTGATCGCGTGATGCATGCAAAGGTATTTAATTGGAAAATATTCGACTTTTTCAAATATTTTACAAATTAGCAGTTGGCATAATTTGAAGTATCTCTAAAGAAACAGATTCTTTAATTTTCCTAATATTTATTCAAAACAT